TTCTTCTTCCCTGTCTTAATATAAATCATCCTTTTGTCTGCCTAACTTTTTTTTTCTCTCTCTGGCCTCCATCTCCATCTATCCACTCACTCCTTTTTGCCCCCATATCCTGTCATCAGCATAAATACCACCTCTTCCCAATGATTATCAGTTCTGATGAAAGGCCTCTCAACTTGAAACATGAACTCTGCTTTCTCTCCATAGATGCTGCCAGACATGCCAAGTTTCTCCAGTAATTTCTGTTGTTGTTCCAGAAATGTTTTGTTATTTGCATTAGTCAAAACTTCATGTAGTCTTTACATGGAAGTTTAGAGGGCTGTGCAAGTCAAAGTGGGTGGGAATGATGCACCGTTTCTTCATATTGTATTTATGGGTTTTTAAGGCAATCCAACAATTCCCATTTTGATTCTGATACCAATTTGCCAATTAAATTTTTTAAACTCAATTTCAACATGCCATAGTGCCATATGAACTCCCAGCCTCTGGAGTGCTAGTTGAGTACCACAATGGCAATGTTACTGTAACTACATTATATAAATGTTGATAATGAAACAGTGAGGAGACACTATAGGAGAGAGAAGAGAATGCCAAGTTTCTAAGATTTCCTCACGCATTGCAAGGTTGTGCCATTAACTCTATGGACACTTTTAGACAATGTTGCAAGAAATAATTGTCTAGAAAATGCCTCATTTTCTCACATTAGAGTATTGATAAAATGTTTCTTTAAAATTACATTGTGTCGGCATCGCAGTTAGACCTGGCCAAATCTCAACATCCCCTCCTGAAATAAAAAAGGATTTTTTTTATTCATTCAGGGGATGAGGGTGTCACTAGTTTGGCATTTATTGCCCATCCCAGAGGACAGGTAAGAGTGAAGTGCACAGCTCTGGGTCTGGAGTCACATGTAGATCAGACCCGGTAAGGATGGCAGTTTCCATCCTCAAAGAACATTCATGAAACAGAGGGCTTTTGCACTAATCGACAATGGATTGGTGGTCATCATTAGATTCTCAATTCCAGATATTTATTAAATTCAAATTCCACAAGTGCTATGGCAGAAATCAAACCCTGGTCCCCAGAACATTTCCTGGGTCTCTGGATTAATGGTCCAGTGATATCATCACTAGGCCATCACCTCCTCAAATATTAAAAATATTTAGTAGATCAAGCAGCATTGTGGAGAGAGAAACAGATTTAATGTTTCAGGTTAATGATGTTTCAACCAGATCAACCAAAACATTAATTCTGTTTCTCTTTCTGCAGATGCTGTCAGCTGATTCTATGATAAGATCTGCTGAGTATTTCCAGCATTTCCTTTTTTTAAAATCAGGTTTCCAGCATCTGTAATATATTACTTTGGTATCCTCTCTCATCTACCTTATCAGCAGAGACCAGGCGTGTGCCATTGCTGCCCCACTCCAAGATGGTGATCTGAGCTCGATGTGTGCCAGCTGCTATTTGTTGTTCATCCACACCCTGTTCAGACCAAAATATCACTGCTCCAGTTTCCCATCCAGTCGCTACAACCTTCTTGGAAGGATGCCAACTGATAAGAGCTGGCTGGAAGGGACGCTCAATGTGTGAATTAGGAATGTGTTCTCCCTATAAATAAGAAGAGGTTAGTCAACATTACTTCCCACTTAGCGTATACATTGTTAACTTTAACATTATATGGAACCTCAATGTAGACACTAGCTATTTCATTATATAAGAACACATAATTATCACATCCAGTGGTGCAAGGTGACATGAGTTTGTGTAGTGATTGTAATGAGGTCAGCTAGGTGGACCTCATAGAATATGAGTTTCCTGATTAGGGCTGTTAACCTGGTCCAATCAGGGAGCCTTGGCTGACGGATATAAACAGGAGTGTCAGAAGTTCTGCTCAGTCTGAGGAAGCCAGACTAATATCAAGTACTATGCAGGTGTAAATAAAGGGTGACCTGATGACGGGATATTGGCCTCTGCATAGTTATTACAGTCTGCTTTTAGTACTTTTGCTCCCATGCTGTGAGAGCATATAATTCCAGTATGTTTCAGTTTCAAACTTGAATCTTCAACTGAAGTTAATAAATGCCCAATGTGCCACCTGTAGAATCAGTCATGTTGCTGTGCAAAAGGGGCAGGCCTGGAATATATATTTAGAGCTGTGCTTCATTTTGGACAATAATACATAATCAATAAACCAAGCAAAAATGAATTTCTAAAGAACTGCATTGGTTGGGGCAGGGAGTTGAGTGGGGAGTGGGAGGAGGGGAAAAGGTGCAAAATATTTACTTTAATTTAATATAGTACTCATATCCAATGGTTCTGGTCCTGTAGGTCAGGTTAATTTTAGATTTTAGAGGCCAGAGTCAGTTAGAGTAACATTATAATACAGATGATAATAGTCATATTTTGTAGTTTAATTCATTACAGTATTTCTTGAAGGACTGAAACATTACAACATGCCTACGATAGGCACAGGCTTCTCTTCACACTCACCACTCCCACTGCCTTCAACTGCCGTCATCCAAATAACTATAGTGTTTTGCTCCCAATAGAAAAATAGGAAGAAACAGCTCCCAGTGGTGGAAGGGTCAAAAACTAGAAGACACACAAATTTCAGTGACTGGGAAAGTAGCCAACCATATCATGAATATAAATATCTATTATACAGCATGTGGTTAGAATGTGGTATATGCTGCTTGACTGTGTGGTGGAGGCAGAGTCAACTGTTGCTTTCAAAAGAGAATTGGATTAGCACCTGAAGAGAAAAAAATTGTAGAACTACACCTTATTGACAATGAGGAACCAGTTACAGCTCCAACTATCTATTGCAAAAGTTAAAGAGTGTAGAATCACACTGGCAACAATCTTCCTTGTGACCAGTTCCAGACCTCGCCTAGCTAAGTTTCGGGAGTAAGACTCTTCCATCAGTCATCTTGGTCGGATTGGATTGCTGCAGGCTGGAAAGTGGGGATGTCATTGTGGTTTGTGATGGTGGGGACATGTTACTATTGAACTTTAATGATCGGGCTGGGGGCAGGGAACGTGTTGTCATATTTTTGTGATGGATTTGCAGATGATTTAGTGGTAGGGTGTTTTTAGTGATGGGGCGGCTAGGGTTTTTTTTTAGTGTTTCAATTGTAGGGTGGATCCCAACAACTCTTGCTCAAACTTTATTACATTTATAACCCTTCCCAGATCTGTTGTTAGGTCATCGAACTGAAGTCTGTTTTTATTCTTCACAGATGCTGCCTAACTTGCAGAACTACAGGAAAAGTGTTGGGTTTGAGACTAATTAAACTTCTTCTGCGGAGAGCTGACATGGGCATTACATGGTCTCTTTCTGTGCAGAAACAACACTATGATTCTACAAACATGAAAAATCATCCAGAATTTCTACTCCAGTGACATCTGCTAGAACTACACAGTTACATGTCTCCTGATGATTGGGCTCATTTGTAATACCTTTTCAATCAATAACTTGCTGACATTCATTATTGATGCTCTCAGTGATATGTCTCAGTGTAACTAATGACAAACAAACCAAAGAGAGAAAATTCCAAGATACCCACCTGCTCAAGATACACATCGACACTGCCCCCTGGAATGCAACTGGTGCTTACAGAGGCCACTGCCAATAATGGGTGGATATGATGCCAAGCAATCTGTGATGGAGAACCGACATTCTCAGGTGCTTCAATATGATGATCAAAGTAAACTGCCATCTTAACACAGTAAGGTAAGCTTCTGTCCAATTCTGTCAGAAGACAATGCAATTTCAATAAAAGCCTGATCAACAATACATTAAAAATTGTCAGCTCAACTCAATTAAAAAAAAGCTTGCAGTATTTTGATAATCCCTGTTCCCTTATTGACAATTACATTGAGGAACCAGTTACAGCTCCAACTATCTATAGCAAAAGTTAAAGAGTGTAGAGTCACACTGGCAACAATCTTCCTTGTGACCAGTCCCAGACCTCGACTAGCAAAGCTTCGGGCGTAAGGCTCTTCCAACACTCATCTTGGTCAGATTGGATCGCTCAGGCTGGGAAGTGGGGATGTCATTGTGGTTTGTGATGGTGGGGACATGTTACTCTTGCACTTTAATGATGGGGCTGGGGGCAGGGCACGTGTTGTCATATTTTGGTGATGGATTTGCAGATGATTTAGTGGTAGGGTGTTTTAGTGATGGGCTAGGCGTTTTTGAAGCGTTTCAATGGTAAGGTGGGTCCTAGCAACTCTTGCTCAAACTTTATTACGTTTATAACCTTTCCCAGTTCTGTTGTTAGGTCATCGACCTGAAGTCTGTTTTTATTCTTCACAGATGCTGCCGAACTTGCTGTGTTTTCAGCATTTTCTGTTTTTGTTTCAGATTTCTAGAATCTGCGCTGTTCTGCTTTATGGCTGTGAGTTGTTTTAGTAATGGAGTGGAAGGGGGTGTTGTGTTCCGGGTGCTACCTGTTTGCAGTGTTGGTCCCTGAGATTTTTCTGAATGCGCCGATTGATGATCCCGAATATCCCGCCCTGATGTTGAAATTTCCCAATCCAACTGACACATAACGCGACTCAGCTAGTACTGTGCCTCCAGGCTGCGGCCTATCTGCAACTACAACTCCGCATTATCCACTTGAAAAAAGCTGGTGCCTCCCCTCGATCCGTGGGTGACTGAAAGCGGCGTTACCTGTAGAACAACGGGTGCTGGCCGTCCTCTTGCACGTTTTCCTGGTGTTAGCTCCGATTCAAGATCGCTTTAGCGTACCTGCAGTTGCCGTAACAACCGGCGAGAACGGAAGCGACGCTTCCATGCCGAAAAATGCCGATCATATCGAAAATACACGAGGGTTGATCCGATTAAATGGCATTGTGGGAAATGTAGTTTTGCCCGACATCTGCCTGACGGCGGCGCATGCTCAGTACTAATTGGGGGGGGCGGTGGACGGTGCTGGTTGAGGGGCGTGTTATGTGGGATTTTGAACCTGTGACTAGGGCCCTCAAAAGGTATTTGAGTTAGAGTTCATCTGGACCTGTTCCAAGATCTCTGTCCAGAGACGGAAGGGTTCAGTCTCCGGAAATTATCTCTAGAGTTTGTGAGAACTCTTTTTTGGGGTCTGTGTAGGAGCTTCACTCCCTTTACCAAAATAAGGCAGAATGAAGATTAAAACCGATTCCTAAGAAATAATCATATCTGCCATGGGCAACAGTCCTCAGGAAGTGGATACTGATGATTGTTTGTTGAACTATTCGTATATATTCAGCCATGACATACTGAAGTAAGAGATAGTAGGAACTGCAGATGTTGGAGAATCTGAGGAACAAGGTGTAGAGCTGGATGAACACAGCCGGCCAAGCAGCGTCAGAGGAGCGGGAAGGCTGACGTATCGGTCTAGGCCCGAAACGTCAGCCTTCCGGCTCCTCTTATGCTGCTTGGCCTGCTGTGTTCATCCAGCTCTACACCTTGTTATCTCACATACTGAAGTAAGCCGTCTTATATTTTCAATGTGTAATTTGGGGCAAGTGACAGTGAGTTATGTTTAAAGGATCCCTTTTGCTTGCAAATGTTCTTTGGAACAGTGTTTTTGGTGCGCTTTGATTACGTTGGGAGGAGCTTTCCCTTGCACACGACAGGACTGCTGTGATGGGAGGTGTAATTGTACTTACTGCTTTTAATAAAGTAATAAATAATTATTAGTGTTAACCTCTTACATCTCTGAATAGGGACAAAGTGGCATTCATCACAGGAGGGGGATCTGGCATTGGATTCCGAATTGCAGAGATACTGATGAGGTAGGGCAGCAGCTGCAGTATGGGCAAAAGTTGCATGTACTTGAACAGAACTTCATGAGCTTCTGGCGATGGTATAAGTGATGAGAACAAAAACAAAGTTGCTGGAAAAGCTCAGCAGGTCTGGCAGCATCTGTGAAGGAGAAAACAGAGTTAACGTTTCTGGTCCAGTGACCCTTCCTCAGAACCCAGTTCATGACTAATCTATCAGAGTGAGCAACTTCCTCTATGATCAAGGTTGTTGAAACTAAATACTTTGCCAATTGTACAAGATTTGTAGGCTTTTCTTTAAATCAATCTGTTCAGGGATGTTATGACACTTCTGAAGCAGGTAGGACTTAAAACTAGACCTGCTTAAGAGGCAGGGACACTATTACTGTGCCACAGGAGCCCTGCTCATGATTTATGGGCTACTCAATTAGTAGCTGACAATTTTGAATGTTGGTAGGAATAAGGAGAGAGATAGTAGGAACTGCAGATGCTGGAGAATCCGAGACAACAAGGTGCAGAGCTGGATGAACACAGCAGGCCAAGCAGCATCATAGGAGCAGAGAGGCTGACGTTTCGGGCCTAGACCCTTGATCAGATGAAGGCCCGAAACGTCAGCCTCTCTGCTCCTAGGAATAAGGAGACTTGCTTTCTGTGTAGCTAACCAGAGGTAAGGCCCAATAGCCAGCCATGCATACATTGTATGCGCATCAAGAATGTATTAAATAGGAGTAAGAATGCTGGGAAAACAGGTCTACCAGCATCTTTTTGAGAGAAAAATAGAGTTAATGTGTTCAGTCCAAAATAATCTCTTTTGAAAGATTTGGACCTGCTTGACTATTCCACCATAAAGTGTGTGACATTATGGTGACACCCTAGCTGAGCTTAATACAAACTGGGCATCAATTGTTGACCCTTTTATTCTGTAATGACTTTTTGAATTATTGTTTATTTTTACAGGCATGGATGTCAGACTGTCATTGCAAGCAGGAGCTTGGAGCGAGTACAGGCAGTAGGTAGCCCAGAACTTGCTTTGATAATTAAAAGCACAGTGAAGTAGTATACTTAGGTAATGTTCTGTTTTAAATAATGTTAAACTGATGTTAATCCCCACAATATAGTTTTTCGGCCTCTCTCACCTTAAATTTCAACCTAAAAGACTAGTGTTAAAGTGGGATGAAGATAAAGTCTAGTATTTATGTATTTCAGAGTTAATCCAGGACTGTTGCTGTCTGTATATTATTGTCAATGATGAGTTTTGTTTCCTCGTTTCTTCTAACTTAGTTTAGAATGAACCCACTGAAATTGTCTTGTTTGCAATTCATTCTGTGAGTACAATGCCTACCCCTGCATTGCTTGTGAAGATTAAGGTGTGAACTAATCAAACTGTTTAAAGAATAAAATTATTCAATTTCCTTTAGTTGAGAGATCAGAAACAGGATGTACATTAAATTTAGGCCATTCAGGAACTATGCCAGGAAGCAATTCTTCATTGATATTAGAAATGTGGAAGTCTCTCTCCAAATGCTGGGCCAATTGGCACATTCAGTACTGAGGTTGATAGATTTTTATGTGTTAAAGTTTTGAAGGAAAATTGAGCAAAGGCAAATAAATTGTGCTGATGTAAAAATCAACCTAAAAATAATTAACTAGCTGAGCAGGCTGGAAGGGCTGATTAGCCTCCAGTTTGTATGGAGGTACAGCCGATTTCTAAGACAAAAGAACAGTCTCTAATTTAATTACAAGTTGAAGTCTCAGTGAAATGGAAAATAAATCAATGAGAAGTAAAGGAACTTTGACCCCTACTGTGCCATTACAGCAAAATGATTGTGTCACAGGATCATATGGCTGGAGGTTATTTCAGTTTCAAACCAAAATTGCAATTCAGTCTAATATTAGTAGTCTATTCTCCAAAGATCATACATTTCCCTAAATTATTATAATTCTTTTGACCTTATTTGTTTGAAATGGCTGCATCCAGATTGTCCACATTTTTCAAGGACTGCGGTCTCCGCCCCCCACCCCCAGCCCCGTGTTTGAAAATGCCCTCGACCGCATCTCTTGTGTTTCCCGCACCCCAGCCCTCACACCCCTCCCTGCAATAACAACAAAGACAGAATTCCCCGTGTCCTCACATATCACCCCATTAACCTCCGGATTCAACGCATCATTCACCGCCACTTCCACCTACAACCTGACCCCACTACGAAGGATATATTTCCCTCCCCACCCTTATCTGCCTTCTGGAGGGACCACTGTCTCCGCGACTCCCTCGTCCATTCCACGCTCCCCACTAGCTCACCACCCCCGGCACCTTTCCCCACAACCGCAGGAGGTGCTACACCTGCCCCTACACTTGCCCTCTCACCTCCATCCCAGGCCCCAAGAAAACTTTCCACATTAAACAGATGTTCACCTGCACATCTGCTAATGTGGTATATTGTATCCGCTGTTCCCGATGTGGCCACCTCTACATTGGGGAGACCAAGCGGAGGCTCAGAGACTACTTTGTGGAGCACCTACATTCGGTTTGCGACAAACGACAACTCTTCCCAGTCACGAACCATTTCAACTCCCCCTCCCACCCCCTGGACAACATGTCCATCCTGGGCCTCCTCCAGTGTCGCAATGCTGCCGTCTGGAAACTGGAGGAACAGCACCTCCTATTCCGCCTTGGAACCCTACGGTCTCAATGTGGACTTTACTAGCTTCAAAATCTCCTTATCCCCGCCTCCTTGACCTGTCCGTCTTCTCTTCCACCTATCTGCTCCCCCCACCTCACTGACCAATCCCCACCCCCACTACCTACACTCACCTTTACTAGCTTCATCCCCGCCTCCTTGACCTGTCCGTCTTCTCTCCCACCTATTTGCTCCACTATCCACCTTCTATCACCACCCCCCTCTTCTCTATTTATTTCAGAGCCCCCTTCCCCTCCCCCATTTCTGTAGAAGGATCCAGACCCGAAACGTCAGCTTTCCTGCTCCTCTGATGCTGCCTGGCCTGCTGTGTTCCTCCAGCTCCACACCTTGTAACTGCATCCAGATTAAGTAGCTTTACTCAGTATGAAGTGAAACTATTCACATGTATATGATTAAGGTAAAGTTGGCACAGTCCTAGAGGACCATAAGGTGTCTGTCTCATCTCAGAGAGAGCATGAATGGCTGGTGGTGATTTTAGCCTGAGAGTCAGCAGCTGAGGGATGGGGTTGAGAATGCGGGACCTTCATGGTGACCTCAGCTGGGGATTGTGAATTGAGACAGAGACTGATCAGGTGAATTCTTCCATAGTCAAACTATCCAAACAGAAGATTGCTTTGAAGCCTGCATGTGTTGGCATTCATCAATAACCAGAGTGTCTTTCTTTTAATCCAGTCTGCAAAGAAACTCACAGCAGCCACTGGACAATGCTGTCTGCCAGTGTCATTGGATGTCAGGCAACCTGTTACCATCATTGCTGCTGTGGAGGAGACACTACACAAATTTGCAAAAATTGACATCTTGATTAATGGTAAGTCTTAAACACTTCCTCACCCTTCTTGTTACTTACAAGTGGAGGCAGGTGATTCACAGAACCCTGTTGGTCCATAGGGCACCTAGTGCCAACTCAATGCACATCACTGCTTTAAATGTCAACCTTTACCACTATCCAGTCTACAGGAAAGTTTACTAAAAGCTGGTGCTGCTGTGAAAGTCTTGTTTACTTTCCATCCTATCTTTTCTCAGCTGCTGCTGGTAACTTCCTATGTCCTGCTGTTGGCCTGTCATTCAATGCTTTCAGAACTGTCCTGGAGATAGATACAGTTGGAACCTTCAACACCTGCAAAGTCCTGTACGAGAAGTGGTTCAAGGTGAGTTAATTGTACACTGGTGAAAGAACTAGATTTTGTTTATCTATTTTTGTTTAAATATCCTTTTTCTTCTTTTCTAATTGGGCTATAGGCCACTTGATGACACTGCCCTTTAGTTGAGAGCCTGAGTAGCAATTTCCTGGTCCTGTCGGAGAAGACAACCAATTCTTGCCTGTTGGGAAATTGGAAGCACTGTTGATTTAAAACTTATCTTGGGGAGTTCTTGTGATCAGTCGGCTGGTGAATCAGTAATCAGCTGAGAGCCATACAGACTAGGAAGAGCCCAACTTGTTTTTCTCTTCTTTATACCGAATTAAAGGCAGCAGTAGGAGTGTGTTACTTTTGGGCTTGTGCCCCTGGATCTATGACAGAAAGTAAACAGGATTCTTGCTGCAGACTTCCAGTGCATATAAATAGACTTGGTTGGGGTGAAATAGTCTGCACGCTACCAACTGTCTAAGCTCATGGATAAAGAGTAATCACTTTGAGAGAGTGCAGCAATCAAAATGGTCAAGTTTCAGGAGAAGATGAGATGTAGAGAAGTCATGACGAAAAATAAGTGAGAAGGAAATAATTTGTCTCTTGTGTGAAAACAAACCCTCCACCCTCTCATTTCCAAGGCCTGTATTTGGAATTCACTGGGACCAGTGAGGACTAATGGAATGCATATCTATTCTGGCCGAGGGTTCCACGTAAACCGAGTTAGTTGGGTTCTTTGAAATGTTGGCACACCCCTCTCCTAAATTTTCTATCTACGACAGAAACAATGAGAGTGGTGTATAGGTCATGAGAGACATTAACAAACTTAACATCTAGTTTGAATGTAATAATTTATCTGAAAACTGATATTAAAAGTGATATGGAATTTAATTGTGAAATTATGACATTGGAACATTCTACATGGTGTAAGTAATCTTCTGTTGCCCTAGGAACATGGAGGAGTTATTGTGAACATTACAGCTACACTGAGCTACAGAGGACAAATTCTGCAGGTCCATGCTGGTTCTGCAAAAGCTGCTATAGGTAAGTTTGTACTGCAGGTACTGTGTGCTCTCATAATCTGGGCTCCCTGTTCCTGTTGGAAACACCAGTGTAAACAGTGCATTTAATCTTATCAGTGAAGGGCTGGAAAATATGCCTCTACGCTTCTGCTATTTTGGTTCTGGTGATGTGTAATGAGGTAGGTTTAATAAATGATATCAGAATAAAAGATCCCCTAGGAAACAGTGAACGTAGCAAAATAGGATTAAGTATTCAGCTTGAGAGGGAGAAACATGTTTTGGAATCAACTGTGCTAAGTATGAAGATTGGCAGTTACACAGGAATGAGGGCAGAGTCTGCTGCTAGTTTCCTAATCCATTCCAGCAAAGATAGTTGAGGAACAATGCAGACATTTTAAGAAATTAGGTCATGGCTCACAGCAAAAACATATCACAAGAAATAGCTCCTTGAAAGTGGAGTCACAGGTAGTCAGAGGTAAAGAAGGCACTGTGAAGAAGGTTTAGAGAATAACTGAAAGAACTGCGGATGCTGTAAATCAGAAACAAAGACAAAGTTGCTGGAAGAGCTCAGCAGGGCTGGCAGCACCTGTGAAGGAAAAAAGAGTTAACATTTTGGATCCAGTGACCCTTCCTCAACTGATCGTGGCTGGGAAAACGTCAGTTTATATGCAGAAAATAGTGAGGTGGGTGGGGTAGGGAGTAAACAATAGGATAGAGCCTTAAGAAAGAGAGAGAGAGACAAAAGCAAAGTTGCTGGAAAAGTTCAGCAGAACGGACCCTTCCTCCGTTCTGAGGAAAGATCACTGGACCCAAAACGTTAACTCTGTTTTTTTCCTTCATAGATGCTGCCAGACCTGCTGAGCTTTTCCAGCAACTTTGTTTTTGTTCCTGGTTTACAGCATCCACAGTTCTTTCGGTTTTTATGAGAGAGAGAGACAGTTGGACAGACGAAGGAGTTGATAACGATCAGGCTGGGAGGGTGAATAATTGTTAATGGGCACTGTTAGTGACTAACAACAGGTAGTGTAATGGCAGGCTATGTGATAATAAGCCCTGGTGCGTGGGGTAGGGGGCTGGGACATGGGAGAGTTTAGGCCCTAAAATTATTGAACTCAATATTGAGTCCGGAGGGCTGCACGGTCCCCAAGCGGAAAATGAGGTGTTGAGCTTCACTGAAACACTGCAGCCAGTGAGGGTTAAAGTAGCAGGTAGCAGGTAACAGGTAGTTCAGGGTCTTTTTTTGTGAGCAGAATGTAGATGTTCTGCGAAGCGGTCACCCAATCTATGCTTCGTTTCCCCAATATAGAGGAGACTGCATTGTGAGCAGCAAATGCAGTAGACTAGATTCTGGGAAGTGCAGGTGAAGTGTTGCTTCACCTGGAAGGTATGTTTGGGCCCTTGGATACTGGGGAGGGAGGAGGTAAATGGGCAGGTGTTGCGCCTTTGCTGATTACAGGGAAAGGTGCCGTAGGGCTGTGGGGGGTGTTGAGAGTGAAGGAAATGTGGACCAGGGTGTCCTGGAGGGAACTGTCTTTGTGGAAGGCGGACAAGGGAGGGGAGGGGAACATGTGTCTGGTGGTGGCACCTCGCTGGAGATGGCGGAAATGGCATCTGATGATCTGGATATGGAAGCTGATGGGATGGCAGGTGAAGAAGGTGTTTGACACACTTGTTTTCTGTAAATCTCAAGTGTAGGAGTGGACTGTAGGAGTTGGGACATCGTGCTGCAGCTGTACGGGACATTAGTGAGGCCACTTTTAGAATTCTGTATTCAGTTCTGGTCTCCCTGCTAGAGAGAAGATATTGTTAAACTTGAAAGGGTTCAGAAAGGTTCTACAAGGATGTTGTCAGGGTTGGAGGGTTTGAGCATTTGAGCTATGGGGAGAGCCTGAATAGGCTGGGGCGTTTTTCTGTGGAGTGTCAGAGGCTGAGGGATGACCTTTATAGAAGTTTATAAAATCATGAGGGGCAGGGATAGGATAAATAGCCATGGTCTTTTCCCCAGGGTAGGGGAGTCCAAAACTAGAGGGCATAGATTTAAGGTGAGACGGGAAAGATTTAAAAGGGACCTAAGGGGCAACTTTTTCATGCAGAGGGTGGAACATGTATGAAATGAACTGCCAGAGGATGTGTTGGAGGCTGGTACAATTACAACATTTAAAAGGCATCTAGATGGATGTATGAATAGGAAGGGTTTAGAGGGATATGGGCCAAATGCTGGCAAATGGGACTAGATTCATTTAGGATATCCGGTCGGCATGGACAAGTTGGACCGAAGATCTGTAAATCTCAAGAGCCTAAGTTAATCAAAGACGATTTTCTCTTGAATCTGTGCTGACTGTTCCTAATTAACCCACATTTTTCCTATTAAGTTTATCCTGAATAATCGTTTCAAGAAGTTTCTCTACATCTGAAATTACTGACTGGACTGAAATTGCAGGGTTTACCCTTGCAGCCTTTTGGAATAAGAGTTTTACGTTTACAGTTCTCCAGTTCCCTCTCTCCACCCAACTCAAGAGAAGATTAAATAAGAACTTTAGAAATAGAAGCAAGAGTAGGCCATTCAGCCCCTCAAGCCTGCCCTGCCATTCTGTAAGATCATGGCTAATCTGTCCCTGGTCTCGACTCCTATTTCATGTTAGCTGCTCATAACCTTCAACTCCTCAATATTCCAAAAGTTTATCTACCTTATCTGTAAATACTTTCTAGCTTCTACAACTTTCTGGGGCAGTGAATTCCAGATATTCGCTACCCTCTGGGAGAATAAATTCCTTTGCATCTCAGTTTTAAATGAGTCTCCCTTTATGTTGTAACTATGTCTCCTAGTTTGAGATTTGCTACTAGTGGGAACACCTTCTCAACGTTTACCCTGTCAAGACCCCCCAGAATCTTAAACAAAAACCGAAATTGCTGGAGAAACTGAGCAGGTCTCTCAGTATCTATGGGAAGAAGGCAGAATTAACATTGAGTCCAATGACTCTATCAGAACTGTTAGCAGCTAGGAAAACATGGTATTTTTGCTGAAGCCTAAGTTTGTGTTTACCATGGGTGTCTGTGCAGACAGTGGAGGGGAGATCAGCAGATACGTGGAGATGGAGCCCGGAGAGAGAGAGTGAGCTATGAAAGGAGTAGGTAACAAGGAGATTAACAAGGTCGGGATCTTGTATGTTTCAATAATATCAGTCCTCAGTCTTCTAAACCCTAATGATAAAGGCCTAACCTGTGTAGCCTTCTCAATAAGTAAACGCATTCATTCCAGGAATCAGTCTCGTGAATCTCTTTTGAACTTCCTCCAAACCCAATATTATCCTTTCTTAAATAGTGACTAAAACTGTTTGTAGTGCTCCAGGTGTAGCCCTACCAATTCCCTTTCTAAAATTCCAGCCCTGAGTAGTGAAGGCCAAAATTCCATTTGCTTGCACCTGCACACAGTAATGTTCTTTGTTTCATGCACAAAAACACCCTGACCCCTCTCTGCTGCACTTTCTTGGAATCTCTATCCATTTAAATTATAGTAAGGTGGTGTGTTTATGGAATGAGCTGCCAGAGGAAATGGTGGAGGCAGGCACAATTGCATCATTTAAGTGGCATCTAGATGGGTACATGAATAGGTGAGGTTTAAAGGGCTATGGGCCAAATGCTGGCAAATGGTACTAGATCAATTTAGGATATCTGGTCAGTATGGGTGAGTTGATCTGAAGAGTCTGTTTCCGTGCTGTATGACTCTATAACATGACCTCACACTTTGCTACATTAAACTATATCTGCCAAGCTTTTGCCCACTCACTCATCCTATCTATATACCCCTACAGATTCCTTATTGTAGTGATTCCAATGAGGTCAGCCAGCTGGACATAATAGAATGGGGCTGTTAATCTGATATTCACACTCTGGTGCCTGACCCTGTATGAGAGAGTATTATAGACAAGGACTGTTCATGTCTAAATAAAGGGTGACTTGATGGGATATCAGCCTCTGTAGAGTTATTTCACTTATGTCCTTATCACAAAATGCCCTGTCATATTTTTGTATCCTGAGCAAGTATGGACAAATTACACATTCCTCTTCTCCTAGTAATTAAAATAGATAGTAAATAATTGAGGCCCAAGGACTGATCCATGTGGTACTCCATTAATTACATCTTTCCAAACTGAAAAATGTCCATTAACCCCAATTAATCTTCCATGTGTTAACCAATCCTCAATCCATGCTAATACTTTACTTTCACCTTCTCCCTGTCACCTTTGATTGTTTGTTTGCATTGCATGTAAATATTCAATTAGCTACACAGGTGTTTTGCTGGTAAGTAGTTTCCAAAAAACAAAAAAAATTGGTGATTTTGGTGGTGGGAAGGTGCTCAGTTGTGATAACACTTCTAGATAGAAGGAGAGGGGGTTAAAAAAGACTTACTCCCAATACTGTGCCCTCCTATCTTGTACAATAACCTTTTTATGTGGCACTTTATCAAATGCCTTCTGGAAATCTAAATAAACTCCATCTATTGATTTCCCCTTTATCAACTCTGCTCGTTATATCCTTAGAACTAAAGCAGATGTATCAAAATTATTTCTCTATTACAATATTATGTTGACTTGGATTGTATTAAACCTTTCTAAATGCCTTGGTTTTTTCTTTCCTTAATGATGGACTTTAGCATTTTCCTAACAAACAGATGTTAGGCTAACTAGCCTATAGTTTTCTGCTTTCTGTCTCCCTCTCTTCTTGAATATGGCCATGCCACATCAGCCATTTTCTAGCAGAAATATTTTGACCAGTGCCTGCACTACCTCTGTAGCCACTTCTTTTAAAATCCTTGGATGCAGGCCATCAGGTCCTGACAACTTGTCTGCCTTCAGTTCCATTAAGTCATCAAATTCTTTGTCCCTCGTGATCGAGACTGTTACAAGATTTTTAGTCCCATTATCATCTTGCTTATCTGATGTGTGATATTTATAGTGTCCTCCACAGTGAAGACCAATTGCAAAATACTTGATTAAATCATCTTCCATTTCCCTGTTCCCC